CACTTCTTTGGAATTCAATGGCCTCAGACTTATTTTCCTTGCACAGATTTATTTATCTCCAGTTTATAATTCTTTTCCAAAAGTTCAATTTTACTGGAGCAGAACAAGGTTGAAAACTAAAGCACATAGCATTTAAGAAATCAACACTGGTCATCTGTTGTTAATGCTGCCCAGAATTCCTGCATCCTTCTAGAAAGTAAAGCCTCCTGGGAAACCATCCATAACTCCAGGTATGGACCTCAGCTCTGGCCTAACTAATCACAGCATTCCATTTCTCTGGCCATTGTGATTGGTTCAGGGATGAGCACATGACCCTGTCGGAACCAGTAAGAAGCACTGAGACTGTTTCTGCAACTGCTAGAAATGAGGCATCTCCCTATTCACCTGGGAAGATGTAGTAAACATAAATACTTCTCAGGGAGTACGGGAAGCCTGTGAAGAACGAAGCCAACATAACAGAAAGCAGGGACAGGAAGTGGCGATGACACCGAGGACTGATGACATTGTTGGGGCCCCTTGGTCCAGTTTGGCAGGTGCTACTTCAGACTCATGGTGCTCATGCAAGCTGATAAATTCCATTTTTACCTTAGGTCAGTCTGGGTTAGGTATTCTGTCACTTGCATGTGTACCTTTCCAAAAATATTTGGTGTATCTTATTAGAAAGAAAGAGAATTGGCTCGTAACCATCAACATAATTTGGCTTCTCTTTTGTAGCTGAGAATACCTAACTCACCCTGTTCTGGGTATTATGAAGACCTTACTTTCCGTAGTTCCTTCTGCTTCCCCTTCATCTCCCTTGTCCTCCTGAGCTTACCATGACCCCCAGGCTGGGTCACATGATAAACACTCACAGCATCTGGTACCTCTTTATTACAGCATTTATCACAATTGTAACTGAACAAGGAATGGGAGAATTAGTTACATAATGTTGCTCTACCTGACTGGACTGTAAAGTTCGTGAGGACAGTGCTCAATAAACATCACCTAAAAGAATGAATGAATGAAGAAAGATCTATGAAAAAACAGAGCTATATGCTTCTGTGTAGGGACAATCTGGAATTTTTCTGTTGTTTCTAGAATAACTATTCTACTCATCTTGACTTGGCATGACTTATAAGCAAATCAACAGAATTCTAGGTGAAATAAAAATTGCTAAATATGAAACAATAATGACATGCCACTAACACTTAGTGACAAATATTAAATAAAATATAGGAAATGGGAAAAAGCATAAAAGAATTACAAGAAATTGTTCAGTTATACAAGATAAGAGGATGATATAATTCCACATTAAGTGGTAAACTTGAAGATTTCTGGGACTTGAAAGAGTATTACTTATAATATTCATCCTTGCTAATATCCAAGGCCAAAATAAATTTGACAAAAGAAGGCAAATATATCTAAAATGATTTTTTAACTTTCTTCACTTCTATGTGATTCAAAATCAGATGCGATATTTTTATGCTTTTTGGATAATAATTTAATTTTTGGCTTTTATAACAAACATTTCTGAATTGAGAATAAATTTTTTTTGCTGAGAATGAAATGATAAAATATAATTGTTAGTGAAGACCATAAGAAAGTAGAAGTTAATAATATGAAGCAATACCCAGCTTGGCTGGTTAATAGTATCCACGAAACCAGAAGCTCCTGGCTCTACCAGCAACAGTTTTCACACCTTATTCTCCAAGCCTGGGAAAGCTACTTTGAATTGTCCTCCCTTTCTGGTTCACACAGTATCACAAAAGTGTGTTGAAGAACAATAATGAAAACAAAGCCTTTTATAAAAATGAGTCATGTAAATTCAAACAAGAATAATCCAGACACTTGTAAATGACTTTGCAAGTCTGGCCTGAAAAGGGCTCTATTACTATACCATATTCGTACAGGTTTCAGGGAGGGTCATTTCTATGGATTATGCTTCTAAAGGTACTCATAAAATTTTTGTTTCCTCTAAACACTGTAGTCAGCTATTGAGCAAAACAGTTCAAGTGGTCACGGTGCATCTCAGCCTGTGCTAATTTTCAGGCCTGGCAGACAATTTTCCTGTGCTAATTATGGGTTATTTTCAGTTTATCCTAAACAAGTATTGATTCAGCCTTTTTTTCCCTTCCCTGGTCAATCTGGCTCTTTCTTGATTTTGGATTAGAGAGGAGAATACTGTAGAGTTGAAGAGTATGATTAAAGGAATGGGCCCCGAGGGGAAATAATTTCTCCAATATTTGGAAAAAATACTTTCGCAGTTGTCAGTGTACTGTGCCAACTACAGGCCTTCCAGAAAGAGTTTAAATGACCTTACAAAAATTGGCGTCAGTTTATCTGTAAGGTGGGAGTAATAATACCTTCTCTATCTGCCTGCTTCACTAGTTGATGGGGAATGCCAGATGAAAGCATGGATGTGAAGGTGTTTGGAAATGTCTAAAGTGCCTATAGACCCTACATTTATTATAAGCAATAATTTTAAAAAAACCAAGATGGTAAAGCAATTAAAAGAGGCAAATATAGTACACTACAGCAGTTTTTTTCATCCTTGGCATTATAGATGTTTCGGGCCAGACAATTTCTTGAGGCAGGAGCTGTGCCACGCGTTGTGGGATGCTTAGAAGCATCCCTGGATTATACCCATTAAGAGCCAGTAGCTCCCATCCTCCCACCCTCAGCTGTAACAACCAAAAACATCTCTAGAGATTGTCAAATGCCCCCAGTTGAGAACCATTCTTCAAAAGGAAAAGCTGAACTTGCCCCCCACCTGAAAGCTGACACTGCCCACAGGCAGGTAGCTGTGGTCCTCCAGCATGCTCAGATACTCAGCTACCAGGGCAGCCGCGTGCACCAGGCACATGGCGGCCTCTGTGTAGCACTTCCTCTTGGTGTGTTTCTCCGCCATGTTCTGGAGCCAGGTCAGCCGCAGATCAGGGGATGTCTGGTAACTCTTGGCAATTCTGAAGACAGATTGAGAAAGTTTCAAGGACAACAGGTTAGCGACACTGTTTTTCTATTGTGTATGGTCACTTTTTGATTTTATCAGAGAAGTTTACCTGTACATGAGGTCCATAAGCATCTCAGGATCTTCCTGAAATTCCCTCATTTTCACCGTGTCATATAAGATGCTATTCAGATTGCAGAGAAGTTCCTCCACCTGCAAAACAGTGTGTGCCCCAAACAATCTCAGTTTTGTAGTCCCTGGTAACAAGTTAGGATTGCACTGAAAGTCCAAGAGGCAGCCATGGACAGGCTTTGCTAAGAGAGGAGAGATCACAGGGGAGTCTAGACTGGACCCTCTGTGACCTTCATCTTTGTAGTTCCAGGCACTTCTGACGCCCAGATATTAGTTGGTCCTTGGGATCCATGTATTAGTCCTGAATCCTTATACTATCTTCCTCTCCAACACCTTTTTGTTTAAATTACTTTCAACTAGTTTCAGTTATTTGCAACCTGAAGCCCCTAAGCTGTGCTCTAGAACATCACGGCTTTTTATACAAAAAGATAGGAGGCAGCTTAGGCCCTGAGCTTAGATTCCATATAATACGTATGATAATATGTTATATAATTATATAGCACATGACATAATAATAGTGTATATATTTTCTATACAATGTTTTATAACATAAAACTATGTTTATATTATATATTATGTATAGTTATATAATATTACACACATATATACACACACACAGATACACATATATATATGTTACATGCAAGTATCTAACTGGCCAATCCCGGACCAGGCATGCTCTTCAGCCTACCTGCATGGGGAAGGGAGTGGTCTGCATGGCTGTGTCCTCTTCTGCATAGGCCAAAATTGTCCTTAAGGATCTTCTCAGGTATTCCTCATTAAAGTCTGGTGCTTTTCCCACCAAAGATGCCAGAGACATGGTTACTTGCATCTTTACTCTTGCAAAGTTCTGCGTCAGGAAAAATAAAGATAGAACAAATAAGAGGCACTCAGCTAGTAGATAATTGAGGGCGTGAGAGCCAGATACCAATAACTCCCCAATGTTTCTTTTACCCAGTCTCAATAATTTCCGTTCTTTCCAATGAAATGTGAGCTATACTTCATTCAAGATTCATATTGTTGTTTAAATGGAACTTGCTCTGATATAAATCTGTCAGAGCCTTCTAAATTTTCATTGACAACTGGGCCACATCCATCTGGCAAGGTTCCTACAGAGCTAGGTTACGGGATGTCTCCTTTTGTGCCATGATTCCTCTTCTTGGGACTATATTTCAACTGCAAAGAGGAGCAGGATCTTCATGGGCAAGATTTCTGGGATTTCTGGACTCTGGGTAGACAGCGACTTTCTGTTTCTCCTTTCCTTCCAGGCCCAGGGCAAAACATGGCTATTCCCAAGGCCTCTGAGGAATGTCCTAAAGGCTTTTAAATACTTACACCTCATACATTCTGAAGACCCTGCCTTTCTTCCACGGGCGACGTTATCTTTTAATATCACTTGAGCATGCTCATTGACGTGACCGCAAATGTAAATTCCAAAAGAACACACCAAAATCTAGACAGCTAGGGCAAAGGTTGACTGTTCTGTAATAGAGCTGAATTCCAAAGGCTGTTAAGCTTCAATGGAAACTCAGATGTAGATGATAGCGATCCTTTCAAATTCTCTTCCACAGTTCATTCTGGTACCAGTCAATCAGCATTTAGAAACGGGACAAACTCTTCTGAATTCCTAATTCTGTTGCATTTTTCCCCCAACAGATGACAACTTTTAATCTACATATATTCATACATTTCTTATTGAAACACACTGATGGAAACCACTGCATTCATTAGTCTTAATATTCGCTTTTATGTCTGGACTCCTTTTTCTTTTTTGTGTGTGTATCTATTATAGATTTTCTGTTTTCAGTTACCGTAAGGTTTTGTTATAACATTCTGTATATATACATGATTGCTTCTAGTTGCTGATCTCTTATCTTCAAACGCATTTTAAGTATCCTGCATCTGTACTCTCCTCCCCTCACAATTACTGGTTTTGATATCAAAAAATGTGGAAAGCTTCATGAATCTGCGTGTCATCCGTGCGCAGGGGCTACACTAATCTCTGTATCATTCCAATTTTAGTGTACGTGCCGCCAAAGCGAGCCCAATATTCACTTTTAGATGCAAATTCAAACAAACAAAAGCTGCTATCCACCTACATGCTCAATTGTTTCCTCTGCACAGGAAAGAAGTCAATTGCAATAGTACCAACTTTTCTGAAACCACTGCTTTGCACTGACTCCCTCTATGGATTCTGGGTTGCCCTGAGCGCTTACACTGGTGGCTCCAAAGCTGAACCTCATGAGGAGGTACAGTGTGGCGCAGGCCTGGCTGCGGGTGACGTCCATGCTGCTGCTGCAGTGATGCAGCACTCGCTGACACAGGTCCGCGCACTGCTCCACTTCCTCCTCGAACAGCAAGTCACCAAACTAGGAGAGACAAGGGGCCATTAGACATCACTTGGCACTTTCATCCGCTTTCTGTACTAGATGCCTGTTGAAATATGTAAATGTCTGCTTGGACAAGCAAAAAGCCCAGAAGAGTTAAGACACTGCTCCATAAAGATAATGAGCTACTTGAGTCAGAAGATGAAGTGAAATGATGGCGTCAACTTAAGATCTCATTATGAACTGCTCAGCTAAGATCAGGGCTGCATAATTAGCTGCCTGGTTAGCCAGGCTACATTCCCTGGTGAAGTCATAACTCGTCCTGAGTTTATTGGGTTCCCTGGAAATCACTGGTGACTGAAAAAGAAAATGATCCTGACAGGGGAGAGCTTTCCTTGTGGGCTTCAAAACACAGTTGTGTGCCTCCCAGTACAATAGGGGCTGCTGGTGCCAGCAGTGTTTCTGTTTTCTCAATGTAAAAGATCTCAGGTAGGAGGCATCAGTCAAGCTTTTCAATAAAGGGGGAGACAGGAATCTGTGATAGACCATTTTAACAAAGGAAAACCTATATTCTTCAGGCTACGAGAAATTTATTTCTAAACCTTCTGACATTTTATGACGTGACATTTTGTAAGACTTAGTAATGGGAGTTATGTATAGGACTTTAACCTTACTCAGATAAAGTTAAAAAATAGGTGAAAAACAAAGTTGCTTAATTGATTTACACTCTAATGTCTCTAGCGAGCAGCTGAATTTCAAATTTCTACAATTTGGCCCACATTTCTAGTGTGAGAGGCACTGTTTTCCCTCTGCATGTTGAGTCCCACAGAATGAGTGTACCTGCCTCCTTCCTAGTGAGACTTAACACATTTACCGCAATGGCACTTAATACAGTGGTCTGTGGGTTTTGGTGCACCTGAAATGAGAAATGTGAAGCTAGACAGATGAGAATCTTAACTCTTAATTAAGAGTGAGAAAATAAACGTTCCATATTTACCTTGGCAATAAGAGCTCGGAGTGTCGCAAAGCAGTGAGTCAGATAGGTGGTGCTCTGATCACAGCTCAGAGAATTCACCAGGACCCTGAGCACACCTCCCATCAGGCTGTCTTTACAGTCCAGAGCCGAGCTTGCCTTGGGGGACAAAAGAACAGCATCACTGAATCCCTGTGCTGTGCCAGTGAACTGAGGTGTGAAGACACAAGTAGATGCTTTTGGTAATTAGCACAGTAATGCTAATTGTTCCATCTCTCAGTCTAAGATCCTAAGGACCTGGGAATGCACTACACATATCTTCCATGACCGTGAGCGCTGAAGACCTATTTTCACATGACTTTATTTCAAAACTCTCAACTGATTTGGGATTTATGCCTAGTTCTGGGCTACTGAACTAAGTTATAAGGCACACCTCCCCCCATCCTGGACAACAGCTTTTGGAATGTTCTTCAGCTTTCCTTGTGGGCTTCAAAACACAATTGTGAGCCTCCCAGTACAACATGGGCTGCTGGTGGCAGCAGTGTTTCTAAACAGAAGCTGATTTATCAACTGTAGGAGGACTAACACCACCAAAGACAATGGCAAGTTTCAGCTGTTCCGAAAACTGCAAATACATGTTGAGGATGGGTGTTAAGAATACAGCACTCAAAGCAGTATTGCATAAAGACATAATCAACGTGATGCCAAGTATTTGATACCAAGTATTTATCAAAGATACAACATGCTTTTTGTCGTTATTTTTGTACAGTAATTACTTTTTAAAAGACAACTTAAGAGATGGATTACTACGGTTCAGCTATGTTTCAACAATATTTTTTCTTCCAGCCCTACAAAGCAATACTGGGTCTATTCTAGTAAATGATTTCTCATTGGAAACATGTAAGGACCCATTTTTCAGGTCAACCAAAAACCCATTATCACTTAGATGTCTTGAGAATTTTTGGAAATGCTAAGTTAGAAGATGAAATTCATATGGTGAACTGTATTACTGTGAAGTTCACAGTGATGCTGCAGTTTTCTATGGCAGGGATGGCAAATTTATGGTGCAAATGGCTTTTCTTCACTAATTTGTGTCCGAAACAGACATCATTTAATCACATTTAGCACTCTTTTTACCTAGTCCAGTCATAATCTTAGCTCCCCTACAGACATCAGCCATAATTCAAATGGAGTTGACCCATCAAAAAAAAAAGGCTACCTACCACCCCTATTCTAGATAGTGAACTATAAGCTCGCCAACCACATTATAAACTTGGCAGGCACTCAGGTGGATTTAACTACGAGGCTCAGTTTGTCAAACTCCTAAGTGAGCAGCAAATCAATGAAGCCAGAAGAATGTTCAGTATCTCCGGAATTTGTAAGGTGGACAATACTGTAAACAGTGAACTTCCCAACTTCATTTTCTAAGAAAAAGCATTTTAGATCACACTGATTTCTTCCACAATTTTCTGTAAAGAATTCCTTATTAAATTCCAGGAAACATATTCATGTTGAGTAGATCAGATGTTTGTGGTCCTCACCTGGATAATGTTTTCCTGCATATCCAGGATGATTAAATTTGCTTCTGTAGCCAGATTGCCACTGATTAAGGCTTCTTGATCTAACTCTGCCTTTGTTCTAAGAAACAAAAAAAGGTCAAATTAAAGTGCATATCAAATCTGGGCATTTGCAATGACAGTAATCTGTGTTCCCAGTGTAAAGAAATCTTCTGAATACTCAATCATGAAGGGAAAATAAAGCAGCTGGTTACAGGTAACTAAGAAATATAGGGTGCTTTCTGTGATTGGTGCCTGGTTACAAGGATTTTCTAGGTAAAGTCTCCAGGCCAGCCTCATCCCCACTATTATGAATAATGATGACAATTATAAAAATAACAAAATGGGTAGGAAAGCAATTATTGGTTGCTACTAGCAACTAGGGTAATCAATCAGAGGGTTGTTTAGAGCTTCAGGGCCATTCTTGCATTTCATGCCTGAGAACCAGCTCCAGATCTGAGACAAGGAAGCTTCTGCAATAAGCTGGAGGGAGTGAGACTGGGTGTGATGTGAATTTGGCTAGTGGCGATGCTGCTAGATTAGGAAAGGGTGATGCTTCAGAACCCGGTCAGGGAAGAGTCAGTGTCTTGACTTTCCGAAGACCATCTTGGGGTTGCAAAGTCAAGTACAGGCCTTTTGCCTTTTCCAATGAGAAGCAAGTCTGCATTCCTGTGGGGCAGGCCATCTAACATCCTGCTGGACGTCACTGGCTACCATCCACTAGGGAATAGGAAATTGCCGAGTGCTGCTTCTCTCTCAGGTCCTCTTGTAAGGAATCAGAGTGTTTTATTCATCAATTCATCTGTTCTCATGAAATCCAAGTGAAGCTGGAATCACTGTTGAAGCTGGGTGATGAGTACCTAAGGATCCATTATCCTACTTTCTCTACTTTCGATATGTTTGACAGTTTTCAATTAAAAGAATGAAAAAAAAATACAGCGAAGTAGAAAGAGGAAAACTTCATTTACAAATATACTCAACACCCAAAGAAAACCATGGTTAATGTTGCGGTAAATTTCCTTCTAGTCTTTTAAAAATGTATTTACTATGTGTAGTTAGAGATTTAAGACTATGCTCTACAAACAAGTGTCTTTTCTTCTTTGTTCATGTAACAGTATAGCATAAGCATCTGCCATATTATTATAATGATTTGAAAACATTTAAATGTCAACCTAATATTTCGTTACGTATTTCCCTATTCTCAAGCATTTAGAATGTTCCAGTTTTTAAAAATAATTTTGTGTAATGCTGACATAAATATGACTGAATATATACATCTTTGTACACATTTCTAGAGTGGAAATATGGATTGAAATGATGTGGTCCTGGGTACACTGTCTTCCCTCATCAGCAGCTTTTGTTAAGCTAGCTGAGATTGCTAAATATTAGTTTTCTTTAAATGCTTATGAATGTGATAAATGTTTAAGAGCTGGAAGTCGTAACTCTTTATACCTTGGATGAGCTGAATTTACACAGATAATAATGTTTCATTTTCTTATGCTTGGAAGGATGTAGCTGTTTCAGTAACACAAGTCGCCTGGGAAAAACAGTTTTGGAGTTTAGGTAAAAGTAGCACAAAGTTGCTGAGTGACTCACTTATCTAGCTTCTCATTAGCTTGCCGCCAATGTGTCTGCTCTTTCCTCCATCTCAAGTTTTCATTTAGGCCTGGAAATCGGTCATTCCCTAGGAGTTAAGAAATGCACGACAGGAATTTGATTAGCATTAGCAAGATAACCAGAAGTTCCGTAACAAGCTCAACTGGGAGGAGGCAGCCTGGCTTCTCTGACTAATTAGAATCCATGCTGGATGCTGGCAGGAGGCAAAGCCCTCAGCCAGGTCCGTCAAGTCCTGGCTGACCTGCTCTTTGAACAATAGGCTAGAGTTTAGAAGAACGCCTGTCTTTCTGGAGTGTCAGCAAGCACATTTCTCACAAACACAGGGCTGCGGTGAAATTGGAGGTTCTCACTGAATTACAGAAAAGGAGAGTGTTGGTGTTGCATGAGGGTGCCCGACCCCCACTGAAAAAGCTCAGCTCCTTCCAAGTTCTGTGCCATTGTGTCCCATTGCATAGAAGGAACTGTCACTCTGTTTACTTGAGCACAGTGAATAAGACTGGGGGTGCCTGCACACTTCACTCTATCCTACAGAGGAGAACTCAGCTTTTTGGAGATCATTCCTGGTGTGATGGG